GGAGTGACTGTGAGCACCATCATCTTAGACGTAAAGCTGCATGGACATGGGTGAGCTTTTCCTGGTGAAAGTGAACTGTTTAATGACTCCGGCAGTTCTTAGCTCTTGTATTACCCTAGGACACTAAAGTATTTATAGCCCTTGTCCCAGGAAGGAAAAAGAGAGACAGAGACACCGAAACAGAGAGTGACAGAGACAGAGACACAGAGCAGGACAGAGGTGGAAAGGGATTAGAAACAAACAAAAAGGATGAATTAAAGGTTTCCTACTAGGAAGAYAATGTTGCCTCTCCCCTATGGCCATAAGAGGACTAAGTAAATATTCGTAAAGCTGCTATAAGTGCCTGGAGCATAGTAAGTAGTCAACACATATTACATTGTAATTACTGTTATTATTGTTAGAGGAATTTGCTTAACTCATCTCACTCTGCTCCATCCCACAAACTCTAAGCAACAAATACAAAAAAAAAAAATGGTGAAATAAAAAAGTCTTTTAATGAATATTAAGAAATCCAATTACAGCAGAATGAATAAAACCCCAAACGGAAGGGGTTATCATTAAGCATTAGATCTGGTATCTGTCCCATAAATATGTGTTGCACTTAGTAAACACCAATCATCAAAACTGCCCATTTTCAGCTCTGGACGTGCGCTTAGTGACTACTTTCCCTTTCCTTTTTCAGTTTGAGCAGGAACTCCTTTCCATGATCATGAAACTAGCATTGGGAATCACCCGTTAAAACATCTGCAGAAGGATAATTTATCCTTTCTAAGTGGCTCTCATTGCAACCGTCTGTCTCCTTCAAGCCATTGTCACAGTGGAAAGGCTTCTAAGGAGCAATCTGTGACAGCCAGGAGAGGGTCTTCAGAGCCAGACAGGGGGCCAACTCCACTACCGCCGTGGGGGAGGAGCCACACCTCACAGACAATGGCGACTTCTCCTTTTCATGAAGTCAGCGAGGGCCCTTTGCTTTCCCACACCAGCTGTCTAAGGCCTCGGTCTCCCCTAGTAGCCCTTTGGTCCTAACCTGTTTTATAAATATTTTGGGGGTAATGGATTGAAAGTCTAAGTGTGACTTTGCACAAATAACCGAGTCATCCATTCCTTGCTCTGCCTGGAGGAGGAGAAAAAGAGAGGTGTGAGCTGAGGTACTTGGGTTTCTCTAATTCCATCCAGATGTTTGAAACAGCCATGCTGTTTAAAATAAGAAGCAAATGGGATGCCTTTTCCTCAATCATTTAAAGTTCTTGATTTCTTAGTAATGAAAAAAAAAAAAAAGAGCAGTATGAAGTGCAAAAAGAAAAGTACCTGTGAATGTACTAGGACATATCTCAGTACAAACAGGGAGGCCAAGTCCATCTATTTGTAATTCAAGACAGAAATTTAGAATAACTAAACCAAGAATGAGTTCCAACATGTTAACATGGTCCAGACATGCTAACTCAACGTCAAGCAAAGTGCCCCGTTTCTGATAAGGGTACTAAGCAACTATGGTGTAAATAAAGGGACAGACAAAATGCTACAGGAGTCAGTCTCTTCATTCAGAACTCACAGTAAAGAGTCACCTAGGAAAATTAATCTGACAAAGAGGTACATAATGGAAACTCTTAGAAGGTTCAGTCAAAGCAATGTTGACAACTGATATAATCTTTCTACCTTGATAACTGGTCAGGAAAGGGCTCTTGGCATATTCATCTAAATGCAAAACTTGAAAACTACTGTGACGAATGCATGAAACCTTTAAATTCTGTCAGCCATTATCTTCATAGATTAAAACCTGTATTTAAAAAGTCAGATAATTGATGGGAAATGTATCCAAAGGAAGTCCTTAATGCTCTATATCCCATTGTTGTTATTAGGTGAAATGACAAAAATTTTCTTTCACCTTGTGATTATTTAAAATGCTGTAGTAAATAAAATTTCTCCCACTTGGTGTTAATGGAAGGGTAAAAGCACCAACCATCAAATAGGATGTTTCAAGTCACATTGTAAGTATAATATAGATCATAAAAGTCAGGATGTCTTTGTGCCAAGCTATTAAACTGGTAAATTCCGTTCCAACGATTGATTTGTCTTTCCCCCCTCTAATTTGGGTAGCTCTTAGTCCAAAGTTGCATTAATCCACTAAGTATGTTTAAATCATACACCCCAGGAAAGGTGTTTTTCACCCATATCTAACCTTTCCCTTAAAAAAAAATCAGCAACTATGGGCCTAAATAATCTTTACAGGGTTATTAGAGAGTGCATTAATAAAAATTGGCATGGAATTTGAGAGAAAAATATTAAAAAATCATCTCCATTAATTCAAATGAGACAAAGTAGCCCTTGGCACAAGAAAGCAACTATGATTCTTCTCCTGTGGTTGGAAAAAGTTGGCCACCCACCACTGCAGTGATCCCCACCAAGTGATGGAGGCCATTTAATTCATTACCCAAATCCTTCATTTGACTAGTGTGGGTGCAATTCTAAGAGATATCAGGTTTTAAAAGTTATGAAAATATGGGGAAAATAACTTTTAAAATATTTTAAATCTTTCATCATCAATTAATTGACAGGAGAACTTAAAACTTTACTGTACATTGCAGAAATAAGTCCCCAAATTATAAAAACACAAATTGTTTCTTCTAATCTTTTAGAAATAGATTGACTTTACAATTTCTCGGTTCTTCAGGTACTGTTAACTTTTACTGCACAACTGAACAGATGAGGAAATAAAACTTGGCCCTGGAGTCATGCAAAGGACAATATAATTCTTGCCAGAAAATGCACAAGAAGGAAATAAAAACAGAGCCTTTGTTTTGCAGCTAGAAATAAAATTTATGTTTTCTCTGATTCACTGGGGGAAAATGAATGTATTTTGAGTCTAAATAGTACTATCAGCATTAAATCAAATTCAAAGCCCTTTCTCAAGAACAGAAATAATTTCCAAGATATTCCTAAAGCTAAATATTTCTAGATGTCTTTTGTCTGTTAGTTTGTACGCAGTTGAGTGCGTGAGCACGTGCAAGATGCTTGTATGAATTTGTTGTAGTTTGTGTTCAGTACCTTGAAAGCTATGTCTGCAGGAAGATCCTTATCTAGAGATATAAGGATATTAAATATTAAAATACTGTTTTGAAATAACATTAAGGATCTGAGACAACACAATAATAGCCAGTAATAAATAAAGAAATTCAGCAAGCTTCTACCTCTTTTTCTAATTCAATCCTTCTGAATTTAAAATGGGAGACAAGCTGCTCACATCACTGACTCAGATTTGTTTTCTTTTGATCTCAATTTCATATTATCAAAATAGGTTTTCATATATTTAACTTGCCTTCTTTTTTCACAAAACAGAAAACAAATTTAAAAACAAAATAACAGTCCACTACTTAGTAATCTCTGGCAAATGAGAGTAATAGAAGCGTTCATGTCATTTACATTGGGGGTTTTCACTTGCATATGTATAATCCTCCTGATATGATGAATCACCTCCACTAGAAGCTCTGGCCTTTTGATTGAATACACTGAAGCACATTTCAAAATGATATTAATTTAGTCACTAGACACTAATAGCATTCTAGGAACTGCTTCACTTTATCTTTCAAACTACCAAGGCATGTAATAATCCTTTCTGGAATAAAAGTCTTGGCTGAAATATTAGATAGAAAACATACATATAATTAAACTGCTTCTCAAAAAAAATCTTAGAATAATGTGTTTATGATGCATAAGCTTGCCAATTTCACTCCAAACACACCTGTCTCAGCCATGATCTATAAAGCAAAAGTCAGATGGCAGGAAACACTACTTTCCATGGTTTTTTGTTGTGTCCTTCATTTTGGACTCACCAACATTGATGAAACGTTGGGTTTAAAATTTTATAACTAAGATAAAATCTTTGAAAACGAGGGTTTGAGGTGAAAAACAAATGGACTCTTAATCAAGACAAGGTAAAACCATTCCTCTGGGACACCAACACAATAGATCTTTTTTGAGGACCAGAGAGCCCTTATAAACCAAAACCAGCTCTGTTTCAGGTTACAGTACATAAAAGAACCTAATGGTTTGGGGATAGTCATCATATCCAGCTATAAGACCAGATTTTAAATTCCAGGGTATTGACAGATTATAAAATATTAACAGTGGGATGAGCTGTAAAATATGCATTATCTACATGAGAAGGTTAAATTTTAAATGCTAAAATACTGTATCTATTGGCATTTAGTGAAATCTTTCCCTGATCTGGATTTTTGTACTGGGTAGATAGGGGCAGGTGATCCCCCCCAAACAAACAAACAAACAAACAAACAAACAAAAAGTGAAAAACTACTCTGTAAGCCTTTTATTTCTCCCCAAATGATCTAAACCAACCAAACCAAAACTTTTCTTTATTTTCCAAGTGATAAATCTATACCTATTGGCACACCTAGCCAACGAAAGTAGGGAAGTTTTCTGTCAACCAAAATCCCTTTTGATCGGGTAACTCCCTGGTTCTTTCAGCTTTGTTAGATGTTTTCCACACAGTGATACAGAAAAGGGTCTTTCCCCCACCCACCTCTGGAAAGGAAAAGGAAAGAAAGAAAGGGAAGTGTCCTCTGGTCTGCAGTGACTCCTCCAGGCTCTCTGACTCTAGCACAGCCCAATATCCTGGCATGAGCTAACTTAGGTTTGGTTAAGTCTTGTTTTCTGCAAAGGCAAGTAAAGGTGACTTCCAAGGGTTCAGTGTATTAAAGAAAAAGGAACAAAAAATATTTTTTAAAGGTAAAAAAAAAAAAAGAAAAAAGTACTTGAAAATAATTCTCAGGGACTTATCTTGAGAGGAGAATTCCAGGTGTAGCATCCCCCTCTTGGCTGTATCCTGCCCCTGTTCCCAGCACAAAGACCTAATAGGTCCAGGCTCCAGAGAAGGGGGCTGTACTAAATGACTTTCTTTAGGGGAAGCAAATATCCTTTAATGGTTTCCAGGGGGAAAGTTGTATTCCTTGATATGTGGCCCATCCACCTTGGCATCGGAGACCTCACAACTTTTTGGCACTATCGTGGCAAGCTGCTGCCCGGATGGTGGTTCCAGCCAAGCCCCGGTTGCTGACCCTGCGAACCAGCACTTTGGAGACGGGAATTTTTGTTCTGGGCATCTCACTCCTGGTTGGTTGCTGGTGCACAACTGGATGGCTGGATGGAAGGTTCGTGAGATGCTTGATGCTAATAGGGATTTTGGAGTCCTTCAGTAAACTGCCTGGTGTTCGCAGTGGACAGGTGATGGTTCCTGGAGACACAGGCTTTAACCGAGACAAGCAAGACGTCTCCTCGTTGGCAGGAGGGACTGCTGGGCTTCCATCCGGGTCAGCATAGAGATCATAGAGCGCATCCCCACTGTAGCTATCCCGGGGGATGCCAGCCTTTTTACCACTGCTGGCGCTTTCTTCCTCTGGACAGGGAGTGGTCGAGTCCCAATAGCCCTCGTCACTGTTGGGGACGCCTTCTGGTTGCTCCTTCTCTTTCTCCGGGTGTTTGGGCTGTTCCTTCGGATGGGACTCAATGGGGATCCTGTTGAGCCTCCTGCGTTTGACCAAGGACACGTCCTTGGACGCTTCTCCACTCCTGGCATCTTTGGAGGTCTCTGGCACCACTTTGGTCTCCAGTGCAGCTGCCGCCTTAGCCGCTCCCTCTTGGGGCCCTGGTCCTTGATCCTCAGTCTGGGAGAGCATGTCCCAGAATTCCTGGAGATAGGTGTCGTCCACCTCATCCGGGCTGGCCATCTCTTCCCCTCCTCCTTGGTAGGCCACCACGCTGGGGTTCTTTTTAGAGAGAACTGGCTTGCCTGGCCCGGGGGCATGCTTGTCACAGCTGGGACCTGCCTCTTCCTCTGGGTCTGCAATAATATCTCCACAGCCTGTAAGAGAGTCAAAGCTTTTCAGTGAAGTCACGTCAGAAAACATCAAACAAATACGATCTGCCGATGGGTCTGAGGGTGGATCGACAGAGGAAGGGTCAGGGACGGCAGACGCCCGGCCGCTGCCACATTCAGAGTCGACCAGGGGGACCGTCTTTATCGGAACGTCACCTGTCCTGGAGGCATCCTCGGCARTGTGGACCTCACCAGCTCCCGACTCAGGGGGTGCCCGGGGCTTCTCGGCGCGCCGATGCCCCGCGGCGTCCTCTCCCCGGGCGCTTTTGTCGTTAGGGCCCCCGGGGCTCTCGGCCTCGCGGCAGGTCCGCGCTGGGGCGCGATCGGCGGAGGCCGGCACCTCCTCTCCCCCTCCGAGCTCACCTGCTGGGTCTCGAGGGGCGTCCTGGCTGGGGGTCTCCGGCTCGCACGCGGCTCTGGGCGTTTCCTCCTTGACGCACTCCAAGCTGGCGGTGAGGGAACCCGGCAAGATGAGGCTGCCCTGGCCGGCCGCGTGCGCCTCCTTCTCCTCCTCCTTGCCGCGTTTGTCCTTCTTGTGCCAGCGCATGCTGCTGAAGATCCCTTTCAGCCCCCTCTTTTGTTTGCCGCCAGCCTTGCTCGCCTCTGCCGGGTCTCCTTTGCCGTTTTCCGATCTCCCGTTCTTTTTCAAAAGGGAGAAGAAGCTGTGAGACTTAGCCACCGAGCTGTTGGCTAGGGAGCCCACGCCGGTCCCCGCGGCTCTGGGGGGCCCGGGGTTCGGCCGACCGCCGCCACGGCCCCCGCCGATGTCGCCCCCGGCGCGCGGCTCCTCCTTTTTGCTGCCCTCCAGCACCACCACCTCGGCTAATCCGTCGTGGGTCCTGCTCCTCACCATCCCCGTCGGACCTGAGCTTTTCCCATCCCCTTTGTTTTTGACCCCAAAAATGCTGGGCATGGTGCCACCCGATTTCCTCTTCTTGAATAATTTGAAAGCAGCTTTATTAATCTTCCCCGACGGCTGCTCGGCGGCCGGCGTTTCAGCGGCACAATCACAATGCAAGTCCATGTCTGCCGCGAGGGTCCCAGCCCCGGCCTCCTCCTTCCTCCTGCAGACCCCCGCGGACGCGCGATCGCAGCCGAGCTCCCTGACAGCCTCGCTGCTGCTGCCGCTGCCGCCGCTGCTCCTGCTCGTCTCCATGGAAACCGAGCGGGATAAGCAGCTTTCGTCAGTCGTGGGCTCGCGCCAGGCCACTGTCATCCGTATTCTAAATCAACCTGAGCCGCTCTTGCTGCTGCGCTACTGCTGCAGTAGCAGCAGCCGCAAAAGAGCACACATAAAAGACCATCTCCCCTCCCGCAAAGAGCTTATATAATACCCTAACCCACTTCCATCCCACTTGGCTTGCTTTTTTTTTTTTTTTGTAGCAAGAGCCTGCAACACAGCTTCCAGCCGATTGCAGAAATTAAAGTCGTAATTATGGAATTCAGATATCATCGACCCTCTCTCCCCCCTTCAGATTGCTCCTCCAGACTTGCTTTCTGGAAGCCCAATCATGGATCAGGAAATGCCAATAAAAATGGCAAAGCAAGTAAGCCCAACCCAAAAAAATGCTTATTCTTTTTTTTTTCTTTTTAAATGTATACTAGACTAGACGGAGCATGCTTGTGTTTTTCCCAAGTCCTTCATGTCTGTCCTTAACATGTGAGTACTAAGCCCAGCAGGCATGAAATGTGTCTGTTTACATCTATGTCTAGTCCAAATGCTAAGTACAATTTCCAGGTCAGTGCTGCATCCTTATGATTGTGGTTCTGATTCTTGTTACGAAAGCACCAACCATCAGTTGAAGACCAATTAGCAGCTCTCAGCAATGAAAGTGCAACAGTTCCATTGGGACAACCATGGGTTTTATCCCGGACTGAGCAACTAGGAGCTGAAGTCACAGAAGCCACTACTCAAACCACAGTTGGCAACAATCAATGAGGTGACAGAGAATATACTTTGGGATCCTGAGGTCCCCACCACAAGTGAGCCTTGAAGTTCTTTGATCTGCTCTTTACTTTTCCCTTCAGCAGGATGCTGGTGTTATTCCTGCTCCTTCTGCTGCCATTCCTGGCCCTGGTCCTTGAACTTCCCCAGGGCTAACCTGCAGCCTCTTTCCCCCCCTAGGGCAGGAAAAGCCTGGCAGGAGTCTCTGAGTGCCCAGGGGCCTCTACAAATGCTCTGACTCACCTGATCTGGAGAAAAGGAAAGACCTCATCCCAGGGAATATCCCAGACAGGGGATATTTTCAGTGCTCTGACTTCAAAGGTGACTGCTAATATTGTAACCTTGATATGTGCTTTTATGATCCCAGCTGAGGGCTTATTTGCTTAAAGGCTTAAGCTCTACCCACCCACCTCCTTTTTTTTCCTAAAAAAAATAGGACATATATATGATTTATATTTTTCATTATTTAATTTATTCTATTTTAAAACATTATTTAATTATATGTAATATTTACATATATACACAAATATTCATCTCTTTCCTACTCATCTCCTGCTTGATTTTCTTCTGTGTGTTACCCAATTCAAGTTGGAGTTTTGCTAATAACATATATTGTCCATTACCACTTCTGTAGTTTTGAAATGTATTTCATTTACATTTAGGCCTTCATAGTTGTATGTTGCTGTTTTCTGTTAATTTTTTTTTTCAGAAATACTGTTTGTAGAATTAAGAAATCAATGAGTTTTGGTTTATTCCCAGAATTCTAATCCCATCAGCTAATCCTACTATTGACCTGTATCTCTCCCTGAATAGGATGTAAAACTGAGACCAGAGAGGCTCTTCCCAATTCTAAATGACCACTTGGCAAAATGAAAACAAAGTCCTCATTGCTTTGCAGATAGACCAGTTATGAGGAACTATAAAGAGAAACTCATTTGTTATTTTTTCACAACCTTTTGGTTCTTTTTCAGACCCACACGGAGATGCTTAGATATGTGGGTTACTATATAAGTAACTGTGTCAGTTTGAAAGCTTTTGTAGCTTGGATCAGGGAAGAATGAAGCAGTCTATAATAATAAAAAAAACAACTCCCCTCCTCTGACCCTGACCCTAAGGGTTAGGAGAAGGTAGATGCTTCCACTGGGTGCTCTCACCTGTCAGGCCAAATGCCCCTCTAATTTACATGAGAATCCTTGGGCCCCCTGGGAGAAAATTGGCAGAGAACTTTGGGATGGATATCATTCCTTTGGGACATAGATACTCAAACAAAGAGAAAGGGACAAAGCCATCTTCAGTCCCTTAAGTCAGAGAAAGGTGACCCAGAAGTAGAAGGATGCAAGGACACTCAACACCATCTACAGGCATTGGGCAAGTCCTTRTCATGGACTATCAGAAAAAGAAGAGTGAGGCCAGTTTACAAGGAACTTAACAGAAGAACCATAGGTGAAGACAGAGTCTGCAGTGGAAGGGGGTGTTGAACAGGATGGTTTGATTGTTAGAGTTGCAGTCAAACAGTTGGGTGGCAGATTGAAGTCAACAGCCGTTGTAATGAATCATCACAAAGATTTATCCAGACCTGAGATTGCTCTCCACAGTCAAGGGAGTGGGGAGGTAGMTACAACATTTGCACAAAATGGAAACATTTTCCCACTCAATCCCAATTTAAAGAGTAAGCAGGAAATTAAAGTGGAAGGGAATAGAGAATGGGGCTGAGGGAAAATGTTTCAGGACAAAGCAATTCCAAAGCAAGACAATGCTTCACAACTGTAAGCAGCCCATGGAAGATAGAAGATAAGTGTGCTAGAAGAGAAGTGTGAGCGTTTCTTTTTGTAGTGTTTGTCATAGAGTCAAGACTTTTCTTTCTGAGCAGCAAGCACCTCTAGAGAAGGATATGCAAAACAGGAAAAATGTAAGAGAAACACAAGGGCTTGATGACTTCATCATCATCATCATCATCATCATCATCATCATCATCATTTCCTATTTTGGAGTGTCTCCTAAAAGCTGAGCCTCTGCCTCTGTCCTAAACTTACCAAGTGGAATTTTCTACCTTCAATGAATCGCTCAAAACACAATGTGGGAAGGGCTGGGTGGGGAGCCTGCCTTGGAACTATTGGGTGGCTGCTTGCTATGGGACTCTTCAAGTCACAGCATCTCTGATTAAAGAGATCACTGGCTTTACTTTTTGACTTAAGTCTTTAAAGGGATAGTGTTTAATCAAGGAGATTTTGAAATGATACCTGAATTGGAACAAATACCTCCCATCTGCAGAGTACTTTAGTCATTCTAGACCCCAACCCAGTCTGAAATGTCTAGCGCCTTCCTTTTGTCCGATCCCACCTGTGATTGTTTTCCCCCAAGGTAAGCTCTAGAAGCTGTGATGCTATGAGGACTCTCAAGTGTCCAGCCCAAAATCCTTATATAAGACTCTCAGAAAAGGCCCTAGCTTGGGCAGCCTTGATCCTCCCCTGCTGTCAACTCTCTCTATATGAGGACTGCCCTTGCCCTCACATAAGCAGAAATCACAATATGAAGTGCCCAGGCGTCGGGAGAGAAACAGGGGTGTTCCTTGCAGGAAGCCTGGCTCAGAGGAGGCAGCTGGCACTTTCCTGTGCCCTCCTAGCCTGAAAAGGGTACAGGCCAAGGCAGGATGGAGACTAGAGATGTTTGAGAGATTCCTGAGCTACACAGAAACATTAATAATTATTATTATTATTATTAGTGCATAATAATTATAGGCTATAGTGGGTGTCATTGTGGCACACTTGTACATGAGCATATAGATTGAAGTTCTTATGTCTTTCTTAAGTGTATTTTGATTCCTGCTTTTCCCCCAAACTTCAGTTTTTACTGTGAATTCATAGCTGTTCTCTATATATGTTTATTCAAAGGAGAAATTCATTTCTAATTAGTAACATGCAAGTGTAAAATCCCAGTGCAATTCATAATTTTCCACCTCAACCTTGGTGTACAGTGGAGGTCATGGAGGGGAAAGTCCTCATCTCAGGGGAGACCTGATCCCATGTTGGCTYTGGAGTCATCAAGAGCCCAGGGAGTGAGGTGTTCCGGTTCATCAAATGCCAGTTGGGTCCAGACCCCATAGATTTGTATCTGAATCCTAGGCACAGAAGACAAAAATAAAAGCAAAGTGAGCACTTCTTTGTAATGCTGGGAGGTCCCCAGAGAACACAAAGCATGCATCAACTGAGAGTGCTGGCACTTGGGGGAAGCACCATTGTATCATTTTCCTGGGGCTGCTGTAACAAAGGTGCCTTAAAACAACAGAAATTTTATGTGTCCTAGTTCTGGGACTGGAAGTTCAAGATGAAGAAGACAGCAGGGCTGGTGACTAGGATAGTCCCTGAGGGAGAATCTGTCCCATGCCTGTCTGCCAGCTTCTGGTTGTTGTCAACAAACCTTTGCATCCCTTGGCTTTTAGACACTTCTTTCCAGCGGCTGCCTCCATCTTCACAGAATGTTCTCCCCAGTGCATCTGTCCATGTCCCTGATTTTTGTAAAAGGACACCAGTAATATTGGAATAAGGGTCCATCCTAATCTGTCTAATCTCATCTTCCATCTTAGTTACATTTTCCATGAACCTATTTCCAAATAAATACCAGGGATTAGGACTTCAATATATCTTTTGGAACACATAAGCCAACCCCCAGCCATCATTATCACCAGCAATGGTTACATCTGTCTCACCTTCAGTCCACAACATGGTCATCAGTGACTTGGACAGAGATAATGACTGTCCTTGGATTCAGACATCGGTGAGTTCTAAGAATATGGGCTGCTCCAGCAGGTATGGTCCCTTGGCAAATTTCAGGGTCATGGACGGACCTTCCAGAGTTGTCAGAATGTGGGACAGAACCACTCTGCCAGACAGAGGAAACAAAGAGGAAAACGGTGTTGTCAGAGAAAAGCTGATATTAGTTGATGCCATGAGAACTTTGGGGATCCCAGACTACCCAGGAGGAATGTAAGAGAGGATCAGAGTTTGACATCATGGGGAGGGCAGAACAAGAGAAACTTTGTCTGTGACTCTTATTGTTCTCCTACCTCCTGCACCTAAGATGGAATTGCCTGAGAAATACCTAATAGCATATTCACCAGTCTGCTCCTAACAATCATCCCCTTCATTCCCTCTCATCCATTTAGTTAGAACCACTCCTAGAAAATATTCTATCTCGATTGCAGAGTGGGATGG